AACCCCCCAAAGAGGGTGGCTTGGCCCTAAAAAAGGGGGGTGGTTTGGCCCTAAAAGAGGGGATTAACCCCCCAAAAGAGGGTGGCTTGGCCCTAAAAGGTGGGGGTTCACCCCCCAAAAGAGGGTGGTTTGGCCCTAAAAAGGGAGCGTGGTTTGGCCCTAAAAGAGGGGGTTCACCCCCCAAAAGAGGGTGGCTTGGCCCTAAAAATGGGGGGTGGTTTGGACCTAAAAGGGGGGGTTCACTCCCCGAAAGAGGGTGGTTTGCCCTAAAAAGGGGGCGTGGTTTGGCCCTAAAAGAGGGGGGTTCACCCCCTAAAAGAGGGTGGCGTGGCCCCAAAAGAGGGGGCTCACCCCCCCAAAAGAGGGAGGCTTGGCCCTAAAAAGGGGGCGTGGTTTGGCCCTAAAAGAGGGGGTTCACCCCCCAAAAGAGGGTGGCTTGGCCCTAAAAATGGGGAGTGGTTTGGCCCTAAAAGGGGAAGGGTTTGGTGCAAAAGAGGGGGGTTTGACCCTAAAACGGGATGGGCTCAACCCTAAAAGAAGCTGGTTTAGCCCCAAAAGGAAGGGGATTCGGCCCAAAAGCGGGGTGATTTGGCCCTAAATGGGGGGGGGGGAGTTTCACTCCCCAAAAGGGGTTGGTTCTCCCCAAAAAAGGGGCTGTTCTGACCCCAAAACTCCCCCCAAAAAGGGGGTGCCCTCGCAATAAAGGGGAGTCCACTCCTGACCCCCCCCAATGGAGGCTTTTGGGGAGCAGTGGGGCTCCCCCCTTGATGTCCCTGTACCCAGGAGCACCCCAACACCCCCCCCCCCCAGTTTTGGGGGTGCCCCCACTCACCAGCACAGGTCTGGCAGCGCCCGGTCCTCTCGATGACGCCCTGACGGGGGTCCATGAGCCCCCCAAGTTTGGGGCGTCCCCCTTCTGTGGTCTCGGGGTACTTGATGCCCCCCTCAGTCACCGACATCCGTTTCTATGGGGAGGGGGGGAAAGGGGAAACTGAGGCACAGGGGGACCCCAACACCCCCCCAAATAGAGGGGGGGACCCCAAAAGAACCCCCCCTTTATGTGGTGGCAACCACATTCAAGCACCCCAACGCTCACACAAGGACCCCCCAGCACCTTTGGGGACCCCCAGCACCCTCCAGGGCACCCAAAGAACCCGCCTGAGACCCCGATACCCCCCCCCAGAGGCATCCAAGCTACCCCCAAGGACCCCAATAACGCTTTAGAAGCCATTGGGGACCCCAGGAGGCTCAATGGGGACCCCAATAACGCTTTAGAAGCCATTGGGGACCCCTGGAGGCTCAATGGGGACCCCAAAAACACTTAAGAAGCCATTGGGGACCCCTGGAAGCTCAATGGGGACCCCAATAACGCTTTAGAAGCCATTGGGGACCCCAGGAGGCTCAATGGGGACCCCAATAACACTTTAGAAGCCATTGGGGACCCCTGCAGGCTCAATGGGGACCCCAATAACGCTTTAGAAGCCATTGGGGACCCCAGGACGCTCTATGGGGATCCCAATAACGCTTTAGAAGCCATTGGGGACGCCTGGAGGCTCAATGAGGACCCCAATAACGCTTTAGAAGCCATTGGGGACCCCTGGAGGCTCAATGGGGACCCCAATAACGCTTTAGAAGCCACTGGGGACCCCTGGAAGCTCAATGGGGACCCCAATAACGCTTTAGAAGCCATTGGGGACCCCTGGAGGCTCAATGGGGACCCCCAAGGACCCCAATAACGCTTTAAAAGCCACTGGGGACCCCAATAACGCCTTAGAAGTCATTGGGGACCCCTGGAGGCCCAAAGGGGAACCCCAATAACGCTATAGAAACCATTGGGGACCCCTGGAGGCTCAATGGGGACCCCCAAAGACCCCAATAACGCTTTAGAAGCCATTGGGGACCCCAGGAGGCTCAATGGGGACCCCGATAACGCTTTAGAAGCCATTGGGGACCCCTGGAGGCTCAATGGGGACCCCAATAACGCTTTAGAAGCCATTGGGGACCCCTGGAGGCTCAATGGGGACCCCAATAACGCTTTAGAAGCCATTGGGGACCCCTGGAGGCTCAATGGGAACCCCAATAACGCTCTAGAAGCCATTGGGGACCCCTGGAAGCTCAATGGGGACCCCAATAACGCTTTAGAAGCCATTGGGGACCCCTGGAGGCTCAATGGGGACCCCAATAACGCTTTAGACGCCACTGCCCCCCGCAGGAGGCTCAAAGGGGACCCCTAAACCCCTCCAGAGCACCCCAAAGCCCCCTGAGGGCCCCCCTCAAGGCCGCAGCATCCCTCTCCCCCCCCCCAATCCTATGGGGGGCGCTCTCCCCCCCCCACGGGGCCTCTCTGTCTCCCGCTCTCGCTGCCTCGCCGCCATTTCCCTTCCCGTCCCGTCCCCCCCCACCTCAGCCGCGTTCCCGTTCCCCCCCCGTTCCCTTTCCCCTTCCACCCCCCCGTCCATCCGGTACCATCTCATCGGGGCTGAGGATCCCGAACTGCACCCGTTTGATGGTGCGCAGCGGGCAGGCGCTGTCTCCGGACGGCGGCCCGCCGTGCATGGCGCCGGCCCGAGCGCGGCCCTCCGCGGCCGCTTCAGCTCCGGAACGCTCCTTCAAGCGCTGCCCCACACCGCGACGGAGCCGCCCCACAAGTACCCCACGGCAGAGCCCGCGCCCCACCGGATCTTCACCCCCCACACCCCTTCCTTTAGGTCCGGCCGCGGCGCCGTCCCGCTGCAACTGAGGTAACCGGCGCTTGAGCGCCCCCTTATATAGCCTCGGCAGGGAGGGGGGCGTGGCCGGACCGTACCAAAGCGCGGCGCCTCAGGCAGGGGGGGGGGCTCGGTTGTTCGGGTTAAAGCCGCTGGCAAAGGGGACGGGGAGCGGCTCCCGGTGCCGGTGCCGAGGCAAGAGGGAAGCGGGAGGAAGAGGAAGGAAGCGGCATCTCCGTGTGACCCCGCGGGGATGCGGCGCTGCCGGCTTTTTCCTCTCCCCCCCTCCTTCCAGCGTGGCGATGGAACGGTCCATGAATAATTAAGGAAGCCACGCCCCCCTTCCCTCAACGAGGCTCCGCCTCCCGCCGTGCCGGAAGCGGCCGGAGGTTGCCGAAGCGCGGCCTGCACCGCCTCGGCCTCGCCTGCTCGCCCCGACCCCGCTGCCCCCGCTCCGAGGCCGGGCTGCGGCGCTACGCAAGGCCGAGGCTTGGGCCTAGTCCCCGCGGAAGGCGATGGGAGGTGAGCGCTGCGCGGACACGTGTGTCAGGGCGTGTGGAACGCGTGTTACATGTGTCCGCGCGTGTCACACGTGTGTGTGTGTGTGTGTCACGTGGCTCAGCTGTGGCGGGCGTGTTCGGGTGGCACGTGACGTCTGTTGTGGCGGTCACGTGTCACGTGATGCGTGTGTGTGTGTGTGTGTGTGTGTGTGTGTGTGTCGTGGGTCACATGACGTGCGTGTCGCGTGTCCGTTGTGTGTGCGTGTCACATGATGCGGCTGCACGTAGGTGTTGCGTGTCACGTGACGCGCGTGTCACGTCCCATATATGGGCGTGTCACGTGATGTAGGTTTGGGTTGTGTCACGTGTTACATACATGTACATGCATGTTACATATGTGTACGCTGCGTGTCACGATGCACATCTACGCATGTATGTTGTGTGCGTCATGTGCATGTAAGTACACGTGTCACATGACGTACATGTAGGTTGTGTCACGTGTTACGTACATGTACATGCATGTTACATACGTGTATGTTGCATGTCACATGATGCACATCTACGCATGTATGTTGTGTACGTCATGTGCATGTAAGTACGTGTCACATGATGTACATGTAGGTTGTGTCACGTGTTACATACATGTACATGCATGTTACATATGTGTACGCTGCGTGTCACGATGCACATCTACGCATGTATGTTGTGTACGTCATGTGCATGTAAGTACACGTGTCACATGACGTACATGTAGGTTGTGTCACGTGTTACGTACATGTACATGCATGTTACATACGTGTATGTTGCATGTCACATGATGCACATCTACGCATGTATGTTGTGTACGTCATGTGCATGTAAGTACGTGTCACATGATGTACATGTAGGTTGTGTCACGTGTTACATACATGTACATGTACATGCATGTTACATATGTGTACGCTGCGTGTCACGTGATGCACGTCTACACATGTATGTTGTGTACGTCATGTGCATGTAAGTACACGTGTCACATGGCATACATGTAGGTTGTGTCACGTGTTACATACACGTACATACATGTTACATAAGCGTACGTTGCGTGTCACGTGATGTACATCTACGCATGTATGTTGTGTACGTCATGTGCATGTAAGTACACGTGTCACATGACGTACATGTAGGTTGTGTCACGTGTTGCATACATGTACATGCATGTTACATACGTGTACGTTGTGTGTCGCATGATGCACATCTACGCATGTATGTTGTATGCATCATGTGCATGTAAGTGCACATGTCACATGACGTACATGTAGGTTGTGTCACATGTTACATACATGTACATGCATGTTACATACGTGTACATTGCGTGTCACATGATGCACATCTACGCATATATGTTGTGTACGTCATGTGCATGTAAGTACATGTGTCACATGATGTACATGTAGGTTGTGTCGCATGTTACATACATGTACATGCATGTTACATACGTGTACGCTGCGTGTCACATGATGCACATCTGCGCATGTATGTTGTGTACGTCATGTGCATGTAAGTAGATGTGTCACACGATGTACATGTAGGTTGTGTCACGTGTTACATACATGTACATGCATGTTACATACGTGTACGCTGCGTGTCACATGATGCACATCTGCGCATGTATGTTGTGTACGTCATGTGCATGTAAGTAGATGTGTCACACGATGTAGGTTGTGTCACGTGTTACATACATGTACATGCATGTTACATACGTGTACGCTGCGTGTCACATGATGCACGTCTACGCATGTATGTTGTATGCATCATGTGCATGTAAGTGCACGTGTCACATGACATGCATGTACGTTGCGTGTCACATGATGCACATGTGCACACATATGTTGCATGCATCATGTCCCATATATGCACGTGTCACATGATGTACATGTATGTTGCATGTATCACGTCACATATATGCGCATGTGTCACATGGCGTACATGTACGTTGAGTGTCACATGATGTACATGTGTACATGTATGTTGCATGCGTCATGTCCCATATATGCACATGTCACATGATGTACATGTACGTTTTGTGTCACATGATGCACATGTATGTTGCGTCACGTCCCATATATGCACATGTGTCACATGACGTAAATGTACGTTGTGTGTCACATGATGTACATGTCTACACGTATGTTGCATGTGTCACGTCCCATATATGCACGTGTCACATGACATATGTGTATGTTGCGTGTCACATGCACATGTGCACGTGTATGTTGCATGCATCACATCCCATATGTGCACGTGTCACATGACGTACATGTATGTTGCGTGTCACATGATGTACATGTGTACATGTATGTTGCATGCGTCACGTCCCCGTGTACATGTCACATGATGCGCATGTACATGTATGTTGTGTACGTGTCACATGACGCACATGTGCGTGTATGTTATGTATGTCACATGACCCATGCTTGTACATGTGTCACATGATGTGCACGTACATGTATGTTGCGTGTGTCATGTGTCCCGTCTGTACACGTGAATCACGTGGCGTACATGTGTGCTGGGTGTCACGCGGCCCGTGCGTGTACGTGGGTCACATGATGCACGCGTACATGTATGTTGGGTGTCACGTGGCCCATGTGTGTCACATGATGCACATGCATGTATGTTGTGTCACATGTCACACATGTATGTGTCACATGACGTCCATGCGCATGTATGTTGTGTGTCACGTATCACACATGGATGTCCCATGACGCCCTTGCGCGTGTGTTGTGTGTCACATTTCCCATGTGTGTCACATGACGCCCATGTGTATACATGTTGTGTGTCATATGTCACATGATGCACATGCATGCGTATGTGTTGTGTCACATATCACACGTGTGTTACATGACATCCATGCACATGTATGTTGTGTGTCACGTGTCACATGATGCACATGCGCGCATGTATGTTGTGAGTCACGTGTCCCATGTGTGTCACATGACGCCCACTCGCATGTATGTTGTGTGTCACATGACACCCATGCACATGTATGTTGTGTGTCACGTGTCACACATGCATGTGTCACATGACGGACATGCGCATGTATGTTGTGTGTCACGTGTCACACATGTATGTGTCACATGACGCCCACGGGCATACATGTTGTGTCACATGATGCACATGCGTACATGTAAGTTGTGTGTCACTTGTCCCATGTGTGTCACATGGTGCCCATGCACATATATGTTGTGTGTCATATGATGCACATGTGTGCATGTATGTTGTGTGTCACGTGTCAAACGTGTGTCACATGATGCCCACGCACATGTATGTTGTATGTCACGTGTCACATGATGCACATGCGTACATGTATATTGTGTGTCACGTGTCACACATGTATGTGTCACATGACGCACATGCGTACATGTATGTTGTGTGTCCTGTGTCACACATGTATGTCACGTGACGCCCACGCGCATGTATGTTGTGTGTCACGTGTCACACACGTATGTGTCACATGATGCCCACTGGCATACATGTTGTGTGTCACGTGTCCTATGTGTGTCACATGATTCCCACGTGCTTGTATGTTGTGTGTCACGTGTCCTATGTGTGTCACATGATTCCCACGTGCATGTATGTTGTGTGTCACATGTCCCGTGTGTCACATGACGCCCACGGGCATACATGTTGTGTGTCACGTGTCCCGTGTGTCACATGATGCCCACGCTCATGTATGTTGTGTGTCATGTGTCACACACATATGTCACATGACGCCCACGGGCATACATGTTGTGTGTCATGTGTCACATGTGTGTCACATAACACACATGCGTACATGCATGTTGTGTGTCACATGTCCCACGCGCGTACCTGCGTCACGTGGTGCGCCGGTGCGTGGATGTCGCGTGGGTTGTGTGCCCCATTGATGTGCACGCGTGTCACATGATGTGCGCGTGCCCCATACGTGCCCGTGTCACATGATGCACGCGTGTCTCCGTGTGTGTGTGACGTCACACACGACATCGCGCTATGACGTCACAGCCCCCATTCCCTCTCTGTCCCTTTAACACCCCCCCCCCCACCTCCACCGCGCGTTGCCTTGTGGGCGCGTGACGTCACCCTCCCCCCCCATCCAATCCGCGCCCGGTTCCTCCCCTTGCGTCACGGCGGCGGTGGGCGGGGCGTGGCGCGGGCGGCGCTCCCCGATTGGCTACAGGTGAAAGGTCCCCTCTCCCCCTGCGGGACCCTTTGGGGTGGGGGGGGGGAGAGGGGGGGGGGTTATTCCCATGGCAACGCGCAGATGGCTCCGCCCCTTCCCCATCCCCCCCCCCCATCCCCCCCCCCCGCCTGTTGCTGGGGACGGCGGCGGCGGAACAGAACCGAGGGTACCGGGGGGGGGTGGGGGGGGTTATGGGGTGTTGTTATGGGGGTGTTGTT